AACACTGAGGGTTGCAATCCCGTTGCCAGTCCCAGTCTGGTACGGGAGCAACACCGAGGGTTGCAATCCCGTTGCCAGTCCCAGTCCGGTACGGGCGCGACACTGAGGGTTGCGATCCGTTGCCGGTCACGAAAAAAGACAAAAAGGAAAAAAAACAAAAACAAAAAAACTAGTATTATACAGTTGTAAGATCTTGGAACTGGAGCATACCTAAAAGATCATGTAGTCCAGTCACCTCAATTTACCAATAAAGAAACTAAGGACCATAGAGGTTATATGTGATTTCCTCATTCTCAGAAGCTAGTTAGTGCCAGAGCCAGAAAGTAGAACTTGGGCTTTTCCTGAAACCTTTGAACAGATGCTGTCCCACATTTGCATACTCGTGTCATCCCCATAATGCATTTGATATTGCCTTGGTAGAGACCTTAGCCCTTCACTGGATTATCTTTCTACCCTTTCTTCACTTCATTAGTAAAGCTACTGTTGCTGGTTGTGGTGGTGGGGGCTTGAATTCAGATTGGTGTAAACTGGGGATTGTAAGTCTACTGCACCATCTCATGCTGTGGCAGGTCACTTCCCACTGCTCTGGGTCAAGGCTTGCCACCCCTACCCTGTGCCACAGGAGATGTCACTGTCCTTCATCCCCTTCCTCTCTCACAAGGGACCCAGAGACCAGCTTGGTAGCTGATATTTAAAGGGTTCCTGACCCCTAATGTTTATAATTATTTCCACATGAGTTGTGGAGATGATTTGCTTCTAATTAGAATTAGGAGGTTCAAGTTATTTTACATGTTAAAAAACTCAGCAGCACGTTATTTAGAAAGTAATGCCAATGAAAAGATGGATTAGTCTTATCTACATATCATTTTTGTTGAAATTAATGGTTAGCAGGGATAAAATGAGTTTTTCATTTTCTAATACCTGCACATTATTTAACTTCTTTATTGTAATTTAAGGTATAGTTAGTATTTTAATTCTCTTATGAAGATAATACCATATGTTTTAATAATGGAATAGTTAATGGCTTTCAAACTTCAGAATGCATGAGATTCACCTGGAGGACTTGTTAAAACAAATCGCTGCTGGGCCCCACCCCCAGATTTCTGATGGAGAAGGTCTGGGAGTAGGACACTTAAAATCTGTGTTTTTTGACAGTTCTCAGCTCTTGCTGATGCTAATGGGCTAGGGATCACACTTGGAGACCCACTGCCTTGTAACGATAAAGTAATAGGTTTTAATAATTGTGAGAATGTGTGTATTGTCTCTTAAACTCTTCACTGTGACCCACTATAAATCTCTCTTTCATCTCATATCCTCTCTGTAAATTGCTTGTTCTGTGTTCACTCCTCATATGGCCTTGGTCATCTTGAAGACATCACAGAAGCTCACCAGTGCCAAGTGAGTGGTAGTTCTCACTAGAGTCCTTTTCTTTGGCTGTGGGTTGCACCTACTTTGTGTTGCTGGGTCAGGGAAGTGGAGAAAATAGGAAAAAGGACATTGTCTTACACTGAGTGTCTACTCAGGCGAGGCCCAGAACCAGGATAAAGATATTTGTTATTTCATTTAGTCCTCATCATAACCCTGTAACATCACTCCCACAGGTACAATTCTGCTTATTTTACAAGAGTTAAAGGGTAAGAGTCCCTTATTTGGAAGTTCTACAATTCTAGCATTTATTACGAAGAAGAAAAAAAGAGAAAACCCTCTCAGATACTTGAATAATGTCTCCCCTGACCTCTTCCCACTGATGTGTGTTTAAGAAATTTGAAAATGTGGAATACCAAATGTGAAGGGCAGGAGGACAACTTAGTTAAACTTTTCACTTAAACTAATGCACTTTCAAGACAAAATCTAGGCTTTTCCACTGGTGTCACTGGAAACTACCAAGTCAGTATATTTGTTGTTTTTTCCCCTCTGATTGCCTTTATTATATGTAGTGTGGTTTTAGCAACTGACAATGGGTACATAACAATCCAGGTGGTTATAATGATCATTTCCTTCAAATAACAAATATAAATTTTACAAGTTTCTAAGTCTGGATTGATTTTCATAAACATGTTCTTTAAACCTCCTCTGAAAGACTATGCTAGAGACATTATGTGCATTCCTTTTTGTGCTTTTTGTTGGTTAGACAACCCCCTGAAAAGGAAAACATTATATTTTAAAATGACCGTTAGATGACACTTTACCACGCATGAGTTAAATTTCCTCTAAAACTGAGTAGCATGGATTAAAAGAAAATGGCTTTATTATTTGTTAACATTTAGGAAGAAATGTTACCTCTAAATAACATTTGATCAGGTGTTTAAATGGCAAATGACAGTCATTTTAATGCCTTGATACAAAATGGCTTTATTATTTGTTAACATTTAGGAAGAAATGTTACCTCTAAATAACATTTGATCGGTGTTTAAATGGCAAATGACAGTCATTTTAATGCCTTGATAAAATATTAAAAATGTTTGACCTCATTTGGTGTGTGCCATTAGCATACACAGTGTAAAGTAGACCTAAGAAAATTCCCCAAAGTTGATTCTCACGAATTAAAAAGTAATTCAACTTTATTTATACCTTTATAATTGATATATGTCCCCCTTACTTAGGGAAGTGATGAAAGAAATCGGAAAAAAAATACATTGATGAGTTAACAGCTTTTTAAAAAAGTGTATTTCTCAGAAGCCATGGACCTTGATGAACATATCTTCTCTACTGCTGAGTGCTCAATTAACCAAGTTGAATAGTTCTTTTTATACTTACTTTGTTTTAGTAGATGAGATTAAGATAAGGTAGTAACATTCCACCATATACACATTTTCTTAAATGTATTCACAGGAGATACTTTTTTTTTTTTTTTACAGCAAAGGATCTAGAAACATGCTTGCACAGAGACAAATATGCAAAGGGAGAGATGATGCTGCCTACTTTTCTTTAGAGGTTCAGTGCTTGTGGGGCACAGTGGTGCTGACACTACCACCCTAACTTCGGTCCCTGCAGGCTCAGGAAGCTGAACTCTTGCTCTGCCATCACTCTTTCCTGTGGGACCTTTTATCCTCATTGAGGAAGAAGATATATTTAAAAATTTTATACTCTGTTTAACAGAATTTTGCAAACCTCAGGCTGTCCTGGGATCTGAACCACCCTGGCCACTGCAAGGTCAGTGTAGTGCCCAGATAGCCTGAGCAGGAGCTCTCTGTGACCCTGCTGTCCCCACCCCATCTCTGGTCCATACTCTTTTTATCTGCTGGTTCTGGTATTGAGTTTTGTTGAGCACATCAGTCAAAATCCATTTCTCTATATTGTACATAGATGAAAATAACTGAGTTTCTACAGTTTTATATTTTCCATCTATAAAAGGTATTTGTGCAAGTAAATATGGATATGGCATCATAGGTTACAAAAAGGAGAGAAACAGTCCCCACCCCATCTCTGGTCCATACTCTTTTTATCTGCTGGTTCTGGTATTGAGTTTTGTCGAGCACATCAGTCAAAATCCATTTCTCTATATTGTACATAGATGAAAATAACTGAGTTTCTACAGTTTTATATTTTCCATCTCTAAAAGGTATTTGTGCAAGTAAATATGGATATGGCATCATAGGTTACAAAAAGGAGAGAAACACTTTAGATATTCATGGGCCTCTTTATTCTCTTACGTAGTATTTATTGTCTTCTCTACACTTTCATCTATTTTCTATTACCAAACGTAATTTAGTATTGTGTTGCTGCAACTTCTTACTGAGTTAAGAAAATTAGCTCAAATTCTTTGGTCTTCTTCATTACTGATATAAACTTAAAAGAAAAAAGATCAAAACTTCAGTTTAGTATTCTGCAGTAACACATTTGTCTTTGGTTTTTATTTTAAGCCAAATCTTTTCTCTATAAACCTCATATGACAACATACAGAATTGCTATTAAATCACCTCACCAAAAAAATCAAGTAGTATAAATTAGGCTACATAAGGCCTTGAGGAAGACTTGAGATAACCCCAAAATACTGAATTTTACAAGAAAATTGTAGCTGACAAGTTTAGATTAATCACTATTTCTTAATCTTTAACATATATGTCATATTTCAAACAGAGCAATAGGAAGTGCTTATTAACGTGTTGCTGTCTTTTTCAAGAGGGCTTGGAGAGAATACGGAATAGTCTTCTGAGTAGATAAATAAATATAATAATGATTAACATTAAAGTGATTGCATTTTTAACCCTTCTAACATGTTAAGCTTAATGAAATTGGCAAATGCCCTTCTAGTTTATTGGATTAGCAATTAGGTGAAAATGCTTGAAAGAAGGCTTATTTATTTGGACAGATGTAGAGAGGTCAGAATTAATTTTTCGAAAACCTTTTAATTGAATTTTCTTTTAATTTTCACAGTGGTGTCTAGTTAAATATTCATGTTA